GGCCTTCAAAAAGTTGACGACTCTACATGTTTCGATGTTACAATGTCAACCTCAGGATGATGCCATATCTGAAGAATATGGTGGGTGTGGGAGAACTTCCCAACCCAACTCTATAATTTTGTGTTGCATCAAACGTGACACATGTGGACGTGCATTGTCATAGAGAAGAAGAACACCTTTCCGACTGAAGGGTGTTTCTGATGAACTGGCTTGATTTAAATGTTCCAGTTGCTGACTGTAGATCTCTGCATTGACAGTTCGCTGTGGATTGAGAAGTTTGAGATGAATTACTCCTTTGATGTCCCATCAAATGTAGGTTTTGGGGTCGGAAGTGGTTGTTGTCTAGGACTGAGCCATTGTTTTTGACATTTAATATACAGGTAGATAATCCATTTTTCATCACCAGTGACAATTCTGTCCAAAAATGGTTCACGCGCATTATGCATTGGAAGAGATGAAGCAACATTTACATGTTGGAAACGATGATCATCGGAGAGTTCACGAGGCACCCAAACACCTTTTTTATGGTGTTTTCCTATATTCCTTAGATGTTTACGTATTGTTTCATGAGAGACGTGCAATTTCAGGGCCATTTCATGAGTGTGTTGCCTTGGGTTAGACTCAACAAGCTTCTTGAGAGCATCAATATCAATTCCAACATGTCAGCCTCTGCCATCACAGCTTTTTAAAGCTAAAGTCACCTGAATGAATTTTGCTGAACCATCATTGACACTTACGAACATTCAAAATATTTCCATAAACTTCTTTGATATTCTTTGTGGCTACAGAGGCTTTGTTGCCTTTCTTGTATTCAAACAGCATTACATGCCGAATATGTGTCTCGTCTTGTGCCATCAATTTAAGGGATTAGAGTATACTACACTTTACACACTATATAGCTACATTAGCATGACGTTTAGGTGGTTTGTTTAACTATTACACGTTATGTATGTTTTTTGGGGGTGTTCCAAAATCCGACATTAATTTCTTGACGGCTTAATACTTATATAAAGATGTATACTTTACTAGTTATAGAAGGGTAAAATTAGCAGTTATTTAAACTGCCACAGCCACATGGTTCCTATGCTCTTTGCTGCACTCAGTTAACAAGTGTTCTTATATTTGTTTGTATTATTACAAATAACTGAAATAGGTTTTTTTGAAGTAATTATATATTCACATGTAATGCTTGGAGACAACTTGAATGGGTAATGAAGAAAAACTGTAATATAAGTTTAACATAGCAGCAAATGTACAATGTTTCGACAAGGTTTTGTCATCATCAGGTACAAATGTATTCACGTGTATTCTGCTCCACTTAGTAAACTACAAAAAAGTTAAAATCAAAATTTTAATAACTAGCATGAAACTAAAATTGATATTTTAAATTTTTCCATTCAGTTTACATTCTTTGAAATCCTGAATTAATCTTTTGATCACATTTTCATTTATAAAGGTATATGTGCTATTTATGCTATAAAATGAAATAGTATAAATTTTAAATGGGTGTTACATAATAGTAAGATATTCTCAAAGCTGTGGTATGTCTCAAGAAGAAACATTGTTGCATTACACTGTATCCTTATAAAGTTAATGTCCTAATGCATTCCCTGAGGAAGTTATTTGAAAGATAATTACTTAAAAATGTGTTGCAGAGACAGAGTCATATCTCACATTTTAGGTAACTAAAATGTTCATGTTTCAATTAACTTTTTATGTACTTGAGATTGCTACCTTCTTCAGTTGGAAAAACAAGGAAATTTCAAAGACTGACTTGGAAAATTAAAATATATATCTTTAGCTTAGAAACAGAAAACAATTATTAAGAAAGTAGTTTTTTTATATCTGTAATATTTGTTCACAAACTTTGCCTAAAAAAGATGCATATAATGTGTTAAACTTATTTTTCCAATTTTTCTGAAACAAGTATTATAACTACAGTTAGAAATAGCTAGTAAAAAAGTGTCTACTTCTAGTTGATGTTAAAGAGGTTTTCAGAATTGGGAGTATGTTTTTCTTGATATGATTTCAAAAGACAGGAATCTGTTTCTCAATCTTGTGTTTTGAAGAAAGCTAAATGTAATATTAGCTGCATCTTTTCCAATTAACTTTAAAGCATTTTGTATCAGATAGTTAAAAACTAGCACACTTTTCAACTTCCAGGTGATAGTCATCATATTGGAGACATGATGTAGTTCCTTTATTAGAACAGTGAAAGTAGCTAATTATGTTTTAGGTTCTGGTAAAAGTAGTAGTACTAGCAGCCCATCTGACTGTGTCCAGTTTTCAATACAGTCATCTTCCAATGATAAAGTAGGCTCTGATAGGCTTCATCTGGCAGACCTTCTTTACAGTATGTTTTTATTTATTCAATCCTTTACTTTTTTAAGTGACATTATCAACAGAGTTAATAAATGTTCTTTGTTATACTATCTTGAACACAATTTCTATTTTATTATCTTGTATTATATATTATAGTAAACAAAAAAAAAAAAAAAAAAAAAAAAAAATATCAATGTTAAAATAACTTAGGTGTAAAGAATAAAAATAAACAGTCAGTAATGTTTGAATTTTGTGTTCAGAGAAGAGTAACATTCTGTGGAATCAGTTTGTTTGGTTGCATGCATTAAAGAAGGAAATGTATGTATTTCCTAGTATTTTAAACTAAACTATATCAGTTCAGCTAACATACTCAAAAATAATATTTTATTAACTGTAAAATGTATAAAAATATGGAAAGTTGCAAGTATAAATACAGTGTTTCTAACTTAGGCCTCCAAACATAAAGTAGGTTTAAGAGTTAAATTAAACTGAATGTATGCATTTGGTGTATAGTTTTTTGTTGTGAAAGATAATGTAGCTTTGAATAAAATAAAAATAATAAACAGCAATGTTTGTGTAAAATTTCTGAAAATCACTTTTAAAGTTAAGTCATATCATTTTCATTATGGATTAAATACCATATTTTTTTCTTGAGTTAATTTTTATTTTAAGGTAAGAATGAATACTTTTTAAGCTAGCATTTTTAAAGAATCTACTATTATCTGTAAATCAAAATTATGCAAGTATGATACACTTCTGATTCGTCAGGTGGAAAATGAATGTTTATAATAAATATTAACAACATGGTAATACCAAAAAACATCTTTGATTACAGATGTTTTGGAATTTCTTCATGTTCCATCATCAGCGTTAAAACCTCAAAAAAAATCTAGTTCATAATATTCAAACTACAAAAAACAATATTAGCTATTGAGCAAGTTTTTGTATTCAATCAGAAACTTAGAAAGAACAGATTTAAATGGTAACAATATAATGGAATGTGTGATAAAACCTGCAGCATACACAAGTTTAATAAATAACATTGTTAAGAGAAACCATTACAGAGAAAAAATCAAATATAAGTATAAGTGTGCACATATTTGAAGGTGACGTATAGTTTTGTCATTATAGGTGCCCCCCAGTGGCACAGCAGTATGTCTGCGGACTTACAACGCTAGAATTCGGGCATCGGTACCCATGGTGAGCAGAGCACAGATAGCCCATTGTGTAGCTTTGTGCTTAAATACAAACAAACAAACAAGCCATTACAGGTAGTTTTATAGCTACCACAAGTATATTTATATACGACCCACAAGGGCATAGAAAGAGGTAGTGTGTCTTTGGTTTTAAACATATTTTTAATTTTAAATGTTGGCCGAAATACTAAAGGTAACTTAATTTGTGGGCAGTATGTTTTAATTATTTTTTGAACTTGATATTTGAATTTAAAACTGTTTGCCAATGAAAGGAGTGATAAGAACTAGTGGACAGGCACTTTGTTTTTAGTGGTCATCTTTATGACCAGATAGATGGAGTGGTGATGGGATCACCTCTACGTCCAACTCTTGCAAATATTTTTATACGTTATTATGAACTCTATATCCCCCACTCTGTATTTGAGATTCCCATTGTCCCTATCTACTGTCTAGCAAAACCACAGCCAATTTTTAAGCTACGTAATCCAACTGAGTCTTGTATCTGATTGCACAGTGGGAATAACAATCACCCCATACTTCCAGAAAAACTTTAAAATTTTCGACTTCAGAATCACTGATTACGAACTCTGTATCAAAGAAAGCCACTCCATTTTTAATGATCACCCAACACTAAATAATAACATAAATTCCACCCTGTTCTCATTAATGTAATCAATTCCAGACTCTCGGTGTTTTTATTTGATTATTATTATTACTTTATACAGTGTTTATACTTATATTTAAGTCTTTCTCTATAATGGTTTTTTCTTAACAATGTCATTTATTAAACGTGTATACCGCACATTTTATCGTACATTCCATTATATTGTTACGATTTAAATCTGTTCTTTCTAAATTTCCGATTGAATACAAAAACTTGCTCAATAGCTAATGTTGTCTTTTCTAGTTTGAAGATTATGAACCAATTTGTTTTTAGATTTTAATGCTTATGTTAGAATTTGAAGAAATCCCGAAATATCTAAGTAAGGATGTTTTTTAGTAGTACAGTGTTTTTCATATTGTTATAATAGTATAAACTTAACTTTCCCATCAGATGTTTTAGAAACAAGCTGCATTATTACCATAGTAACTCAATCTTTTCTTCAGATGTTCAAATGAATATGATCCCATCACCAGAAAGTTCAGAGCAGGAAGAAGCAAGTGACATGTTTCATTCTATTATAAATGCAAAACGAAACTTTCTTTTTTCAAGAATAACAAGCATGGAGTCTGAAGTGAGTGAATCAGTCAGTTTGTTGTTTGTATAGTACAATTACTGTGTAAAAGAAAATATGTTTCATGTAAATAATTATTCAGTTAACTGAACTAGCCTGTGGATTTATTCTGTAGATGTGAATTGCTTAGTTTCATTTAAGTAGTACGATAAATGATGGCAGACTATTCAGATGACACAAGTGCCATTTTTATTGAATATATTGCTAAATTTATGATATGTAGTAGCACACCCAGAAAGTAATTTATTTTTTGAAAACAAACTATATTTATTAGATATAAATTGATTTTGGCCAAGAATATTGTTCCTTAAAGTTGCAATATAGTTTCTGATGAAAGTAACAGTGACATAATTATTGAAAGAAATATATTAATGAATATGAAAATTGTTGAAAGTTACTGGACATGAAAAATAGGAGCATTCTGATTAATAATAAAAAAATTAACAGTATTTTAACTTTAAGTTTTCATTTTCTGGTAATATAGGGTTTTTACACGGCTATATGTTTTCTCATCTGATTTGACAGTTGGCACATTTGGACTTCTTTGGTGATATGTAAATATTGTTGTGTGCAAGATTATGGTTGAAATTCTTAAATTTGAAACAGGTTTGTTGATGTTATTTAAGTGGCAGCTCTCTCCATATACTAAGTAGAACATGAACAAAGATGGATTATAAACTAGAAATCTGACAGAGTGTATGTTAACTCATAAGCACTAGAATTATAAACTTGGAGTTTTTATAGTTACCATATTTGAATGAAAACTTCATGCTTTAGTCACTAGCAATACTGGAGATATGGTTGTGTAAAACCCTGTACAACATTTATAAATATCCTTTATGTATCACATTTTAAAATTTTGTCAAGCAGTTTGATTCATTGTATAAGTATTTGTTGATGAAAGTTTGTTAGTATATATATGTCATGTATTTTTCTGTCACGTAATTGTGCCATTTCTTACATATTTCTAATATAGAATTTATGAGGTGCATTTTAATTATGACAGTTGTTCTGATAAAAGCAGTCGGAAATGTAGATGACTGTACTATACCATTTAAATTTGCTAATGCCTTACATATGCTATGAGTGATGAACATTTCTATGCGGTTATCCAAATGTTTGTCATATGTGTTTAAATTTTATTTTTCATGGAATTGTTTAATATATATATGTAAAAGCTACTCTCTGTTTAGTATGCTCCCTTTGTCGGTAATGCTCAACTCTGTGTTGGCAACATTCAAAGTGGCTCAGTGGTTTGTTTCAAGTGGAAGTTTTGAGTTCCAATTCTAGTTGAATGGGGATTTGATTATTATTTTTTTAAATTATTAAATCGTAATGTTTATGGATTTGAATTATTTATCATTTGATTACAGAGACTGGATGTTACAATAGTTATAGTACTTGACTATTATGTGGAAATCTCGAGTCTGGATTTTATGTTAATTTTTTATTATTATATTTATTTTTTTATATATTTATTATCATATTTACAACAAGCTCCTTGAATATTCAGAAAAGTAATAATACAATTATAGATTAAGTGAGGGATAATAGTATATTACATAATAAACGTGAGTGACTGTCTGTATCCAAAACAACTTAAATATCTTCTCAATACATTATTATTTATATTTTTCACCTTCAGTAGAAAAGAGTTGAAAAAAATGTATAACTTTTCATTAAAAGTTATTCCTTCATAAATTTGCTCTTCACCATAAAATTCATTGCTTTTACCATCACAGTTAGTAAATCAGATGGTTAGATATTTGATGGTGTAGGAAAATTTCATTGAGAACCAGTTTCATATGGTTCAGTCTATAAGGCTTTACCAAGAAAAATATTTAAACGTAACATACAAATATATGCAAATCAAAATTATGACCAAGGAAAAATTACAAAATATGCAAAATAAATGTTGATTTTTTGAAATACTAGAAAAAGGATAAACAATTAATTTTTAAAAAATATGTTCATAAAATATTTATTTAGATTTATTTTTCACAAGAAAAATTAATCAGCATTTACTGTCATATGATGGACATTCAGCTAATTTAATACATAATCTCCACTTCCAGGAATCAGAAACTGGCACTCTGACACCCAGTTGTAATGCAAGTGATTCTGGAAGCATGACAACTAACCCAGCTTACTACCGTGCTACCCAAGTTGGCCACAGCTCTTTTCGATCAACAGTTTCTGACAGTGAAATTGAAGCAGGAAGTGTGAGTATCATTTCTTCAATGAAGTGAAAAGAAACTGGTTTGATGTGAATTTTTATTATTTGTTTATTCAGGCTTAAAAATTCAATTGTGGATTTCAAGATAATCAAGATAATATTTTTGATTTTTATTAGAAATATGTAAATTAAAATGGTAAATTTTTAATAGTTTCTTAGTTTCAGGGTATTTTTCTACACTTTTCACTTTATCCAGACACCTTACACCTTAAACAGAGTTAGTATTGTTAAAATAGTAAACTTCAGTGTTTTTATTATTGGAAATATCATTATAGAACAAATTTCACTGTCTAACCTTCATTGTATTTGGTTTGTATATATTAATTTTTTTAGAAAGAAACTGTTAAGTCTATTTTACAAGAGATGTGATTTCAATATATTTTAATTATTTTGGGATATTAATGTTTCTCAGAACAGAGAGCTGTAATATATGTTCTAGGACTAATGTATTTCGTCCTTTCAAAAGTTAGTCCAGGCTCCCTGTTCTGTCATGTTATTAACATGTGTGCTTTTTAATGGTTAGCTTCATTTTTATAATATCTGAATTTTTCTTATTAGCTACAACTGTACAGTTGTTTTCCATTTAACAGCTGTTACAGTGCAGTAAGTGTAAAATAATTATGCATTTGTGGAATATTTTTTAGTTGTGTATCTGTGTTGAAATTGAAACTAGTGGGTTAATATTTTCTATCTTGAATGTCCAAGATATGTTTAATGTGTTAAATGTATTAGCATATGGATAAAAATATGTGTTTCAAGCTTTTTTCAAGCCAGCAAATTTTCTGGGTATTACTTTTTTTGTAAACTTGTTTTGAATTATGTAGCAGTTTAGAAATTGTGATTTTGAGTGGTGTAGGAATTGAGAAATATCTGAGGTTACACTGTAGCAAGTTCCTATCTCTCTTTTTTTATATATTTTCAGAGCTTGTAATTTAAAGCTACTAATACCAGACATCCTTTGTTGTTAAACTATGGTTAATATGTTCATTCAGCATCAAATAAATCTACTTGAAGTAAGGCAATATATTTGAGAATAATAGAACATGAACTCTAAAGTTCAGTACATTAAGTTGTTATATGTACTTTCAATATATTTATGTTAATTTTTATGTTACACGTAGTTGATTTCTTGTCTGTTGATTGAATGAGAGAAACTGTTAACACTAGAACTGCCAAATCAGTTATTTTGACTGTTTTCACTTTTCAAATGTAAATAACACGGTTGTCTATGTATGACTTTTTCTAAATCCACGTATTAACCCTATCGCCTCAGGTATTCTTTACTGTGCATGACAAAAGGTTTTAGTGTCTTACATTCAAAATTTTATTAAACTGCTTTTTGTTTATGTTATATTAATTAGAATAGCATAAAATATTAGCTAATAATCCATATTTTAATAGTATATAAGTTTTAAGTTCCTAATTATAAAAGGCAATATTAAAAAAACATCCTGAATTTCCACTAGTGTTACCCACATGACACATTTTCTCTTAGCATGTCATCATCCACAATTTATCCACCACCCCTCAAAAAAGTATGAAATTAAACGTAAATTACTCTCTTGACACATTTTGTCTTAGTATGTTATCATCCCTATTTTATCCATCATCCCCTCAAAAATGTATGAAATTAAGCGTAAATTACTCCATAAAATCATTATTGCTCAGATAAACCATAATTTTTATAGTCTTCAACTTTGTTTTATTACAGACCCCTCCTGCCACACCCACCTGTCACATCCTCTCTTTCACAATTTGTTGATAGTTCTCTCTTACTTTCATTATATATTACTTATAACCAATAGAAAGTCAAGGTTTTCATCTATCAAATGATGTATTGTATAACATTGTGTTATGAAAAGATAATCATCAGTTTCACTCAGAGTAGCAACATCATTCTCATGGGAAAGCTAGCTTGGATGTATTTGTAACGGCTATTGTAGCATAGTTAGAAAGCCAGGAAAAGTTTGAGAGGTAAGTGAACTTGTCTACTTTTTGCATGTTATTAGTCTATATGCATTATTTAATTGAATAAAAATTATTAAGTGCATTGCTATCTATAATATAAAAAATTAGGGTTAACTCTCTTTGAAACCCAAAAGCAATAAGAAAGATTAGGTAAGTACTTATTTATTCTTTATTTATTATTGTAAAAATCTAAAAATACTTATTTTGTAAAGTCATTTAAGACTAGATTAGGCAAGATAAGTAATAATGATAATAATGTATTTAAAATGGTTCACAAGGCACGCATGCGAACAGCTCGTAGGTAATATAATTCAATAGCGTAACAAGAGTTGCAATTCCCCCTGTGATTTACAACTTGTAATGGCATGGATAGTAGTTAGACACAGTTCAAAGGGCAATAAACCAATAAAATTTAATTGTAAATAGATGCATAATGTTACAAACTTAGAGCTACTTAGGATAAATGAATGTAGTTTCATGATACAATTGGAAGTCATTCTAGAAAGAAAAATAGGTTACTTTAGGTTTATTAAATTTTTTGTTGTTTTTTTTGGTGGTACGAGGTTGGTCGAATTGACCGATATCGATTTGAGATAGGGTAGAGAAAATAACAAATAAACTTTAAAGTTTTACTGAAAACAAACGCTTGAAGTGCATTTAGGAGGTTTTAGGGATTACACAAAGGAAATTTGAGATTTTTGAGATGAGGAAAAGTATTTTTTATTTTAACATGAAAATTACTTTGCACACACACACATACACACACACTATTCAAAACAAATACTCAATATATTCATGGACAAATCTTTATTTTATTTTATTAAAAATACTTCACTAAGAAATGTGAGTTTTTCTATGTGAAAGATTTGTAATATTAACTGAAAGACTGCCAAATTTCGTGAAGATATAAGAGAGTTATAAGTATTAAATCTATAAAGACTTTAAATATCCTGATGGCACTTCAAAGGCAGGATTGTAAAAATAATCACTTCTACCTAGGACTGCCAAATACCTGTCACTTTGACTATTATTTCCAAAACATACTTACCCTCTGCTGTCACTGCTATCGTTTATACCCCACTTAAATGCCTTTGCCAATATCTAATTTACAAATCCTTCCACCCACGTCAGTGTGCCCTCTATCCTGACACTGTATATAAACACCTCACTCAGATAATGTAATCACTTTTTCTCAACAAAGAATTGGTCACAGTTTTTTATGGGTTGCGATTTTCATGTCACCTTGTGGATTTCTGTATAATTGTAATTTCCTTTCAAAAAAATTGGACGTGACATTTGTGGGTAGGAATTCCCATATTACCTTTGTCGCCATGGTAATAAATGGTGACTATTCCTCCTTTATCTGGCATCTCTCTGCGGTTAGAGGGGGGGGGGTCACTCTCAGTTGAGGCTGTCCATGTTTTGATCCGTTGGGAGATGGAAACATACAATTCAGCCCAGGGTTTTTTTTCTCCTGAAGCCTCTGAAGTTTTTTTTTGTTGTTGTTGATCCTGGTTATTGTGGGGTGAACTTGGACTTGGTTTTTCTGATGCTTTTCTTTACTAAGTCAGTTTCTCATGAGTACAATTTGGATCACCCACCTCTTACACTTGATGTTCATGTGTGTCCCAGAGGCATTTTATTGTGAATTGTCATCACCCATTTGATTTGTTGTTGTTGACCTATCGACCTTCTTTGGCTCTAGCTTCTGAATAGACTCAGACCTTTCAGGGCCACTCCATTTGGGCTGACTGACACTAACAGTTTCACTGTCAACTTATATGGGGGATCATTTAGATTTACAATTATTGATGGACACCTGGTATTTCATCACTGCAGATCCATGGGTACTTCAAGTCCTGGTATCGAGGTTGCTCTTTCCATTCAATTCTCTACCTCCATTATCCTCTAACCCTGTGGTATTTCCACCTCCTCCTGACCAGTTGGGAGTGGATTTTCGATTCTCGACTATCAGATTTACTATCATGAGGGTGGTAGTGACAGTTAATCCCATTCTTCCATGATTTTATTCCTTTTTATTTGTTATGCCTGAGACAAGGGGATATTCACGGACAATCATTGTTCTTTCTCATCTCAACCCATTGTTTGTTCCTTCGAGATCCACAATGGAGTTCTTTCTCACCCTATATTGGCATTCTTCACCAGGTCCGTGATGTCCAAGTTTGAGGCTGCTGAGGCATTCCTTCACATTTTCATAGTGAATTCATCTTTAACTACGTTTTGTACACAGGGATCAGGTTCTGTAGTTCACGGATCTAGCCTTTGGTCTAGCATCAGCATCATATGTCTTCTGCTGGGTTGTACAAGTTTTCACCATGTTTCTTGCCCGGCACAGCCACCTCCCATCCAGTTCCAGACTATGGAATTGGCAGTAAGGCTCTTACTTATAGGGATGGTTCTATCTCTTGGGTTGTGGGCTTCCCCCAAATATCTGGAATTTTTTGGGATGAGGACACATGCTATCTCTTCAGTGGTCTCATTATAACTAATGGATCTCCAACTTCAATCCACTGGATTTTCCAGTCCCTTTCATCAGGAGCAACATCTTAGTTTTTGAGTGGTGGTTGGTTTGGATCAACACTATCATATGTGTGTGTGTGTGTGTATATATATATATATACTGAGTTACCCGGCATTTCACGGTGAAAATTTAGATTTGAAATGTATAGATCAGTATTTTTTCAGCAAATTGAATAGTAAGTAGAGAAAAGCTGTGATGCGAGAAATAAAAAAGCATTTAATCAAACAAAGCTTTATTTGAAATTAGATCGTGTTTGAGTTTGTCTTGTTCTTTGAGCCTGAAGCCGTACATCATTTTGCTCCTATGTTTCTTGCTCTCTGTAAGTTATTTGTCTTAATTTTTGTGCTTGAATTCTAGTTTGACATTGTTCAGAAGTTTCTTGTTGTCTATATTCAGCTTGCCTTGATGATTCTGACTGAACTCTGGCTTTGTGCTGTTCAACAGTTTCTTGCTATCTTTGAGTAGCCTGCCTTTCA